CCTTTTTTTTTTTTTTTTTTTTTTGGTACCAGGGATCAATCTCGTCCTTGCTTGCAAGGCAAGCGATGGAACCACTGAGCTAAATCCCCAGCCCTTCAGCCTTCCACTCTTGATGTTAACAATCCTCTGAGGAGTTACAATATTAGTATTCCCATTTTACCCATGAGAAAACTCACAGAGATTAAATCATTTGCCTAGCATCTCTTGGTCAGATGGTTTCAGAACTGAAATCTAGGAGAAAGTTCAAAGCCCATGGACCTCACTGTTATACCTTCCCTTCCAAACCCAGGGTCTGTCTCCCTTTAAACACACTTTTCCAACTACATACATATTTCATGGTACGTTTCCAAGGACATCCTGGCTCTGACAATATAAATATCTCTAATTGTAGTACATCAATATCATAGAAAACCATGAAGTCATTAAAAATGATGCAGTCTATATTCACTAACAAGAGAAAATAGCCACAAAGTGGTTAAGTGAAAAATCAAATTACAACAAAGTACCACACCCACTTCTATAAATAGAATGAATCCAATATGGACTGGAATAAAACCAAACCTTTTTGGTTTTTGTTTTTTTGGTACGGGAGATCGAACCCGGGACCTTGTGCTTGCAAGGCAGGTGGCAGCACCACTGAGCTAAATCCCTACCGACTGAGATTACTTTGAAATAATCAGGTTTCTGACAAGAATTTGACACACTGCTTTGGAAGACCATGCCAAATGACAGGAAACTGAGGCCATAGCTCAAGGTGGAGTAAGTGCTGTCCAACAGCTTTGGAGGCCTTCAATATTCCAAGTGCAGAGGGAGCATGCAAACATAGACAAGACCCACCCCTGACTAGAACTACAGAATATTCCAGCAGCTACACCCAGGGGCTACACCCAGGTAATGTCTGGCTCCATGCAGAGCAGACAGAGGCAAGTCCCAGCCTCACATCATGGCTGTCTGTCATCTAAGGGGTTGGACTTGTTCATGTCTGTTCTCATCTGGACCCTCTTTCCCTATCTAAATGAGAGGCAGCACACCCACAGGGCCACATGCGGAAGCCCTCAGCAAATCCAGTGGAAGCACAGAGAGAGCCTGCTCCCCAGCCTCCCTCACCAAATGCCCATTTAAGACTAAGGCTGGTGCTGGAGCTATGGCCAAGGTGTGACCAAAGATCCCATCTGCAGGGCTCCTGGGCTCCAGTCAGGGAATGTTAATGATTTACCCTCTACCTGGTGAAACTTCCGAGTCTGAAGAGGGTTTGGTTTCACTACTTGGGCCACTATAGGTTGTCCAATCACCAAGAAATGGCACTAGCACAGGTGAAAATAATGGCAGACTTTATTGGCATAAATCACAGGAATTGAAATGGAAAAAGCCAGGTTAGAAATTTACATAGAAAAAAATAATCAAATAAACATTAACCCAGTGAGTGGACCCCAGAATCCCCACAGGCCCCTTGGGAAGAGGCCTCGGGTGGGTCACTGTAAACAGAGCAATAAGGCCTATGGGTAGAAGTGGAAATGGCAGAACTCTGGGGGGCCCAGGCTGACCTCCCCTGACCTCGGCTGCTCCTGGTCCCGCTGGAGGAGGCGGCTGGTGGGATGGTCTGGATGCATCACTGTAGAACGGTCCCCTTCCCCCGGCAGGAACCCCAGGTCTGGCTGCTCCTGTTTCATCTTGAGAGCTCTGGGGCTTCTGGCTGCTCCAGCAGGATCCTGTCCCTCTGTCCAGAACCCCACCAAGCCCCTTACGCCAAGCTGAGGCCTTCTCCCCAGACCTGAGCATCAGCCCCACCTGATAAAGAGGAGGAACCTGAGCCCAGTCTCCAGGGGGTAGGAACTCTGAGGAAGTAGTGAGCCAGTGGAATCAAGACCAGAGAGACCTGTCTGGTCTTCGTGGTCAAAGTCAGATCCCAGCTTTCCTGAGAAGGCAGAAGAAAGAGCCCCAGAGAAGCAGTGAGGAGGCTAAGAATGTCCAGTGGGTTCTTTTTGGGGAGCAGAGGCTCCTAATGGCTTTCTTAGATAGGAAGCAGCCCCCTAAAGCATACTTTCCCCTTCTCCTCCCTCAGGAACAGGGCAGATGAGGTTCAGAATTCCAGGTCCAAAAGGGCCAGGCACCCTTAGGGTCAGTTTTAATTAAGAACTTGCTGACCCAGGCAGTAAGGAAAGAGTTTCAAAATACAGCAGTTTATAAAACAGTCCTGGTGCGCTGCGAAGGTACAGAAAGGGAGTTACAGAGCTGCTCCTGGTTCACCTGCTCGTGCTAAGAAAAAAAAAAAAAATACAAATGGCTTCCCCACCCCAAGCCCTCAGTACAAAGCAAACTCCACACCAAAGCCCCAGTCACCAATAGGACCATGGCAGTGGACAAGGAGGAGAATACAAAAGGGAAAGTCTTTAAAATCGCTTCAAAATCATCTTGTACAGAGAAGTAAAAGTAACTTGGGCGATACAAATGCAAACCTCAGTGTAGAAATCTATCAAAGTCGGTACAGTATCCAGGCATGGGTGACACTCCCTACCTCATGCTGTCCCCAGAGATGGAAGAAATGGCTATAAAACATTATTGCTGGAGAGGCCTTTCTCAGTAGGACCAAAACAGTTATAAAAGGGGCAGCAGCCCAGGCCTGGGGAGACTGGAACTCACGAAGTCCCCCCACAGGCCTCGGGCACTTCCGTCCGTGGTGAGTGGGTTTATGCTGGCATTGTGTGGTGGAAGGTGGCTCTCCCCCAGCACTCTAGGGATTATGAGGTTGGGGGAATGAGGATAAAAAGACCCCATCTAACCTGCTTGCCCTCCCTGCCTTGCTCTACTGCTGAAATATGAGTACACGTGGCTCCAGAGTGGGGTGCTAGCCTGCCCAGGCCTCTCCGTGGGGACACACGTGGTGTGAGGTCACACCCTCCAGGCTCCACATCTGGGTGGACCAAAAGTGGGCACCAGGGGCAGAGCCGCAGGAGGGAGAAGCCCAGAGGCTGGGGGAGGCATGAAGAGAAGCAGGCAGGACCCGTGGCCTGCTCCCCCTCTTCCCATCCTGCTCCAGCTGCGAAGAGGCTTCCAGTTTGTCAGGTTTGCCCCTCAGCCCTGGGCGAGGTCTCTGGGTCACAGTAGCAGTTGGGGACGCCGGGCTGGGGAAGGGCGCCTAGCAGAAGAGCTTCAGGAAGCAGTTCTGGCAGTAAGGCTTGTCATTCTGCTCTTTGAAGGTGCCCTTGTTGAGCTGCTTGAGGCAGAAGGCACAGACGAAGTGCTCGGGGTGGAACTTCTTGGCCATGGCGGTGATGCAGCGGCCCGTGATGGGTTTCTGGCAGCCAGAGCACAGTGAGCCGCGGCGCTCGTGATAGTGCACCTCGCAGTATGGCTGCCCGTCGTGCTCAAAGAAGCTGCCGTTAATAAAAGGCGTGAAGCACTCCTGCCAGACAGAGGGGGTAGGCAGAAGGGCGGGGCTCAGGGCTGTCTTTTCTGGTGGACAGCATGCGGTATGACACTCAGGGGACAGAAACGGTCATGACACCCGTCGTGACTCCCACTTGCCAGTGGTTTCCCACGTGTGGAAGGATGGGCTACACACCTAGACACTCCCAAGGGAGAACAAATGAGACACACAAGCCAAGATACTTACTTGCCCAGGACCGTGCACCTACTAAATCACACAGTCTGGATTCAGGCCTAAGCTCTGACTTCTGGGCACTTAAGGAAGTGGCTATACTGGTGTTGCCAGAAACCTGTGCTGAAAAATTGAATCTGAACATCCTGGATTCCAATTTGGAGATTCATGTGGTATTAAAGGCTTAAGAGAGCTGGGGATTTAGCTCATGGTGCCACCGCCTGCCTTGCAAGCGCAAGGTCCTGAGTTTGAATCTCAGTACCAAAAATAAAATAAAGGCTTAAGAAGGCCTGCAGTGAACCATGTTTTCCAAACTTCCTTGATCAGAAAGCCCATGCTGAGTCCCTACAAACACCTGTAGGACCCCTGACTCCCACAGTGCAGTGTGGAAACCACTACCCATTTCTGTTATGTCTGTTCACACTTGTCGTATCTTATTTAATTCTCACATCGTCTTTTCCCAGATATCCCCAGGCCCAGGGCCTCAGCACAAAGACTAGCAGTCTTTGCCCCTGCCCGTTTTCTCTGCCCTGTGAAAATTAGGATAAAAGGCTCTGAGGTGAGGGTGAAAAAGGCAGCCATAGGGACATGTCCATTTGCTCCTGTCTGTCACAGCACAGCACAAGTCCCAGGACCTAGTAGACTTAGGAGGTGAACCCCTGCTCACACCACGAGGACCCCAAGAAAGAGAAGACCCTCCCCTCCGAGCCTGCTCCTGGCCCCTCCAGATGTGGCAGGGGCTCCTTACCCTGCACACAAAGCACTCGGGATGCCAGAGGGTGTTGAGGGCCGAGATGTAGTTCTCCAGGATGGCCCGGGCACAGCCGCCACACTTGGGCGCGAACATGTCAAAATAATCCTTCCGGCAGTAGGCTTTGCCATCTTTCTCGTGGAACCCTGAGAAGCAGGGGGTTTGGGAGCAGATTCAGGGCTTCCAGAAGTGGAACTGCCCGGCCCCAACATCAGCAGAGCCTCCTGCTTCTGCCCAGCCCGCCCAGGAGCAGTGGGTTGGTTCAAGGCCTTGCCGTACCTTCAGGGCCAAAGAAGGCTCCACACTGGGCACAGAAGAAGTGCTCAGGGTGCCACGTCCGGTCAAGGGCTGTCACCACTTTCTGTGAAAGCAAAGAGTGGGGTAAAAGCCAAGCTGCAACCCCACTGGTGGATGCAACAAATGCAACTCATGGGCAGCACCTTCCTTCCCACCTCACCCACAGCTCAAGGCCAAGGAAAGAGCAAAACGCCCCCCACAGGGTCTCCTAATTCCACTACAAATACCACTAGGAATTCAGATTTATGGAGGGCTGTGACTTGTCAGATGCATTCTCTCTTTTATTTTTGGTACTGGGGAACAAACTCGGGACCTTGTGCTTGCGAGGCAGGCAGCAGAACCACTGAGCTAAATCCCCAGCCCTAGTCTCTCTTCTTTAATCCTCACAAGAGGGATTGAGGCCATGGGTTCTATTGTAATTCCCACTTTACAGATGAAAAGCCTAGGCTCAGAGAGATCAGGCATCTCCCTAACATCAGACAGTGGAAATGAGACATCCCAAATTCGGATCCATTTGTCTGGTCAGAGATCCTACACTCTGGGGGTCTCAGAGGACAGAATCCAGGGCAGCAGGTGGAAAGGAGCATTAGGGTGGGCTGGAGACAAGGCCTGGGTTGTGTTTTGTTATTGTTGTTCTTCCTGGGATCGAACTCAGGACCTTGCGCTTGCGAGGCAGGTGCAGTGACACTGAGGTAAGTCCCTGGACCAAGGCGTGGGTTTGAAGGCCAGCCCCACCCTTTCCTAGCCGTCACATGTTACATGACCTCTCTGAAGCCACCCACTCTGAGGGTTAACGGTAAAGATGAAAGGAACTGATGGGGACCTGCTGCCCCTCGCTCTGCCTGCCACGCCACACACAGATGCTCACATCCAGGATGGGGCCATTGCAGTAGTAGCAGCGTGGGGAGAAGAGGTTGTGATAGTCCTTTTCACAGTAGGGCTGCCCGTCACGCTCGAAGAAATTCCGGGATCCGATCTCCTCCTGGCAGTGGGTGCAGACAAAGTGCTCAGGGTGCCATGTCTTTCCCATGGCAGTCACGACCTGAGGGGAAGATGGATGGTGGCTCAGAAAGAGAAGCAGGGCAAAGGTCTCCATCCCCACATTCCCACACATCACCTGCCCAGCAATGGGTTTCTTGCAGGCCCCACAGACGCCTTTGGCCACTGTGGCCACCCCCAGCTTGTTTAGGTCGGACTGCAGGCTCCCCAGCATGCTGTCCAGCTGGCTCCCGGGCTTTGGGGGTCCCCCAGGTGGTGAGCTGCTTCTGGTCTTCCCCTGGGCCATGAACTGTGTGGACAGGGAGAAAGGCGGGTTAGGACTCATGGGCAGGGGACATGGCATCTCACAGCACCAAGGCCTGGAGGGCTTTCTCCCTCCAGACGGATGGGCCGACGAAAGCAAAGAAGCAGTGTCCTCCAGGGGCCAGAAGAGCCCTAAAGGTGGGAGTGAGAGCAGGCCATGCCCGTGGTTGGGGTGTCAGAGGGTGAGAAGGAAGAGCTCACGGCCCCTGCTGCATGACGAAGCCCAGGGAATCAGGACAAGCAGGACCTCAGCCCCAGCCCTGGCACTGACCCCTCCCTCGTCCTGCCCTTCAGGGCTGCTCTGCCTGCTGCTCGGAGGCCAGCCAGCTGCCCACTGCCGCTCTCCATCCGCTCTCTGTTCCAGGCCGTGCATCTTAGATAGAGGAGGAAAGAAGAAATTGTTTAAAAAACTAGTAAGTGTAAGAGACCTCACACTGGACCATTTCACACAGGGGCATTCAGGATGAAATAAGAGGATTTTCCCCCACTGGCAATATCAAAATCAGGAGGAAAAAAAATCCAGACAAAAACAACCCAGGGAAAGAGGCCCAGAGAGAGGGAGGCGAGCCCTAGGGATGGGCCCTAGGTAGGGAAGGTGCCTGAGGCCAGACGGCAGAGCCTCAGCAGGTCCTGGGCCTAGGGGCTGGAAGGAGAAGAGATGGGCTTCTGGTTTCCACTCTGGGAGTGGCCTCCTTTGATGGCAGAACCAAGGGACAATGGGAAGGGGCCAGCAGGCAAGGCCACACAGGAAAGCTGGAAGCCAACTGATTTCCTGAGGGGTGGGGCCTGGACATGGATACAGTGAGGGCTCAGGGTCAAGGTCCAAGGAAGGGCTGAGGTGAACTGCTAGGGCGGTAGGGGTGTGTGTGTGTGTGTGAACACACGCACACGCACATGCAGAATTGGGGGACGGCTCAGGCATTGGGAGAGGGGACAGGGCACAGGTCCGGCTGGTGCTGGGGCCCCTGGGAGGCATGCCTGCATCGGGGGGAAGAGTGGGTCCTCATCAGTCTGGCAGCCCACAGATTTCACAGTGTGGGGTGCAGGAGTGGGTGGGGTGTGGCCCTGTCCATCCTCATCATGGGGCCCTTCCCCTGCACTCTGGACCCCCGGGGACCCATGAGTGGAGGCTGAAGGCCCCGGGCGGGAGGGAGTGGGCAGGCCGGGCAGGGGAGAAGAGCTGCTGGCAGAGACATCTCGGTGATGCTGGAGAGAAGGGACAGGAGGAGAAGCCAGAACAGAGACGGTTCTTCTCTGGGGAATGGGAGAGTCAGGAGGGAAGACAACCTGGGAAGAAGAGAGCAGGGAGAGAGATGAAGGAGAGAGAAGAAATCATCCACTCAGTGAGCACAAGGAAGGTGATGTCCCCGGGCTCCTGGTCCTTCCCACTCTGGCAGCAAGAGTGAAGCCAGTCTGACAAGGTCACAGGATGCAAAACTCCACCCCTCCGCCCCCAGATCTCTCCTGCAGCCAGCACTGGGGCCGAGGAGGCATCTGGACACCTGCACCCAGGCCCTGGCTACCTTCTCTACCAGCTGCCCCCCAGCCCTCCGCCCACGCGGCTGCACAGTGATGACGACGCCCTCCGTCAGCCAGTCCTGAGCAGAGGCCCCGGCTGCCCCTGCTGCCTCCTCTGCTTCCGGCTGGATGCCCAACCGGCCCTGCAGCTCTGCGATAAGCTGCTCCTGGGATGGGGTCCTGCTCAGGGTGGCGGGGTCCAGCCGGCGGCGAGGGGAGGGCTCCCGGGACATGGGGTGCGCGTGGCCCGTCTCCCGGCTCCTCCTGATCACAGAGCGGATCTGGGGGCGGAGGGGGAAGCTGTCACCATCCTACTGTGGGCTGGGCAAGGTACTGCTCAGTCCACACTCAGGTGTTCAGGAGAGGGGAGGGCAGAACACAAGCACCAGAGAAGAGCCGAGCCAAGGGGGGTGGAGGCAAAGGGCGGATGACACAGACTTGGGTACAGGCCACGAGAGAGCCCTTGGGTGCCTGAGCTGGCACCTCCAACCTGGCCCCTGACCTTGGGCAAGACACTTAACTTCCAGGATCTGAAGCCTCTCCACCCTTAAAGTGGGGTAACAGGATTCTCTTGGCTTACTTCATACGGTTATCACATAAATTATTTCAGAGCATGAGGATGGAAGTGGATGCTCCTGACAGGGCAAGATGCTCTTTCTTCTAATTTATGATAGAAGTATACAGACTTTTCCTGTCAGTAATTTTTTTTTGCAATAGAGTCTCACTAAGTTGCCAGGCTGGTTTCAAACTTGCAATACTCCTGCCTCAGCCTCTCAAGTAGCTGGGATCACAGGCGTACAGGCGCATACTGCCACACCCAGCTCAGTGAATCTTTTAACCAGTTTTTCTGTTTCTTTCTTTTCTTTTTTATATTATAAGCTACTTGCTTGTAGTATTTTGAGCTCCTCTGCTATTTTGGGTGAAAGGCATAAAGTTTTAACCCAGCAAGAGGCAAATAATAAACACAGTAAGGGCCAGGGATTTAGCTCAGTGGTGTCGTGCCTGCGCTGCAAATGCAAGGTCCTGAGTTCGATCCCTGGTACAAAAATAATAAAGATGATGGTGATGGTGATGATGATGATGATAATCACAGTAAGAGCAGGCATGGCTTACTGAGGAACCATGTGCCGAGTTCCACATACTTTCTAGTAATTAACTCATTTTATCCTCAAGACAACCACCTTGGTGGACAATGACCTATTATTATTATTCCCATTTTATTTTTTTAAAATTATTATTCCCATTTTAAAGATGAGAAACTAAGGTCGGGGTGGTTGCCCAAGGTCACCTAGGCAGCAAGTGTTGGCAGTAAGGTTTGTAATTTCAAAGTCCATGCTTTTAAGCATTTTGCACATCAGAATGTCAAGGTCAGCTCATCTGAAGGGAAAATCCTTAAATGGGCAAGAGGTGGGTCATCACTATGGGCAGTGTCAGGGCCCAGGGAACTCTGCTGTCCCACAGGATCCACTGACAAGCACCGATCATTGGGGTTGCAGGCCACAGGCCCTTAGCACATTCTGCCCAGGCAGACACGCATGCAGTGGGAGCCACATGCAGTTAGCAGGAAGGGCCTACACTCAGGCCCACGAGAGCCATGCCTAGTGGCTTCACAAGCAGACGCCTGCCTGGCCAGAGGTAGAAATCCTCTCCGTAGTGCTGGGTGTGCCCACGGCAGGTGGAAGCTCCGGCTGTTCCTTCCTGGCTTCAGCAGCAGCTTCAGTGGTACCTTCTGGGCTCCTTGGGTTCTCGGGTCCCTGGCTTCCCCTCCTGGGCCTGTCTCCATCTAACTGCTCCTTGTTGGCTGGGGCAGGGTAGCTGCTTCCCAGCCCCGCTGGCTCTGGCCTTGCCCTCTCTTGCTGGCCACAATCCTTCGTAAGATTCCAGGTGTCGGGGAAGATGGCCTGACGATTCACGGCCACAAAAGCTGGCTCCACTACTTCCTGAAAGCTGCAAGCAGCTCCACAGGGAGTCTCTGGCCTGGATGGCTCCAAAGCCCAGGGCCACTTCCAAGTGGCAACCAGAGCCTCCTCTGGACACAAAGGGTCACCCTGTGGCCCTTCAGGGTCTCCAGGCTCCTGGGAGACTGTGCACCCAACCGAAGGTGGAGTGTGGCACAGGGAAGACATAGAGGGCTCACTCACGGGGTTCAGAAGGTCCCTCCTAACTGGAGCCTGGCACTCTGCACCAAATGACCCCGGAGAAACCTCTGCAGAGGGAGACCTTGAATTGTAGGTGTCAGACGTCACCCCAAGGCCAGCCAAGTCAAGCCAACTGGGGGCTACAGGAAGAAGACCCCGTCTATTTTCCTCAGTGCAGAGGACCTCTAGGGTGTGGCCCTGGCCTTGAGGGGAGGATTTAGAGGTAGAAGGCAGGAATACAAAAGGCATGGGAGGACATGGAGAAGGGGGAGCAGGAAGGGTATGGGGTAGAGGTGGAGCTGAGCTTGGCAGCAGCCCTGAGGAGCTCGGGGCCACAGCAGAGGAGCTCGTCTGGAGGAGAAAGACAAAAGGAAAGGGGGAAGAGAGAGATGGGGAGGTAAGGAAAGATGCTCACAGCAAGGGACAGGCTCGGCTTAGGGCTTGGAGAGCTACCACCCATACTGACCCAAGTGTTACAAGGCTGAAGCATGGGGACTGAGCCTTGAAAAGACTCAGACTTTAAAAAACCCCTTCTTGGGCTTCACATCCTTGGCCCTCATGAAACCTGGGCAAGAGAAAGCAGCTGTGAAGCCACCGCTGTAGGGTCACCCAAGGTAGGGATGAAAGAGAAGACTAAGGTGAGGTAAGCAACAGGGAGAGCAGTGACAAGGGAGGTCAGTGCCAGGCACAAAGCATAAGGAAATCAGCTGTGGGCAGCTGCTCTGCACTCCTCCAACACTGGCTCAACTCTCAGCCCTGTCCCTCTTGGGCAACCCCAGCTTTCCTATGACCTCGAGCTTATTCTGGGATCAGGGTCAGAAGTAGTGCAGCTTCCCCTTCCTGAGCATCTGGACATAAACCGTCTCAGAAAGAACCCCACAGAAGAGAAACAGAGCAGGGGTCTGCCCTGAGGCCAAAGCCTGAATCCATCTTATTCATCTCTCATTAGCTGCTCAGAACTGTGAGACACAAGGCTAACAAGCTCAAGCTCAACCCTCCACCCTGGCCAAGTTCCCACCCTCCACAGTGAACCTCAAGCAAAAGAGAAGCAGGAGGCACCCTCAGGGCCTGCTTGCTCCCCTTCTCCAAATCCCTAAGTCGCGCTCTGAAGGTCACCGGCTGACCCACATGGAGGTACAGTCAGCAACTCCTAGAGAATTCTGTCAATATCCCTGTCCAGGCACTGCATCCCCTCAATAAAACATGGCCAGCTGGCAGGACTGGGGAGGCCCCAAAGAGGAGGGGTAGGGGATCCTAACGCAGGACCGGCCCTGTGGGCTGACAGCTTAGGTTTCTCAGACAGGGATCATGGCAACTCTGAGGCCCAGTGGCCAGGCCCTGGATGGAGAGAGAAGGACGGAAGGAGGCTGGCAAGGGAGGGTTGTGGATTCAATCGCCAGAGACAGAAAGAAAGAGGTCACGTTGGTCATGTTGAAGAGCCAGCGTGGGAGATGGGGCTCCCGGGCAAGTGACCTCTCAGGCACGGGATCCTGAGTCTCACAAGGTCCAGCAGAGCATGCCCTCCCCCACCAAGAGCAGCCATCAACACAGGGCCCTTTGTCCCAGTGTCCCAGCCTCCTGATGCCCTGGACCTGGGTGGCTGGGAGTGCCCGAGGAGGAAGGAATGTCCCAGATGAGTGCTTCTTTGGCTTCTCCACCTCCACTGGCTACTGAGGCAACTCAATCCCCCCAACACTGCCGGGCCTCCCCGCTCCCCACATCCTGCTATCCTAGCATCGAAGGGTCCCCAACTCAGAGCAAGGCATCCACACGCTGAAGGACAAAGGTCCAGGTACTCACACTGAGGTAAAAAAGGATGAGGGAGGGGGGCATGGCAGGGAAGACAGAGGGACCACGGGGCACCTTGAAATCTGACAGTGAGGCCATCAGCTCGTCCAGCTCCCTGGTGGCAGAGGAGGCTGAGATACGCGTCTGCTGCTGGCTGGAGGTGACTCGCTGCGGGCTGCTCATCTCGCCCTGGTTCACAGTAATGGCGGGGCTGCAGGGCAGATGTGGGGTCAAAGGGGAGCCCAGAAAGCAGCCTCAGGCTCTACAGGGGATAGGGTCTGACACCCAACACCTCCAACCCTGGGAAGACGCCCCACACCCAGGCTTTCAGGACTCATCACTAGGAAAGGGGCAGTGCCCTGAGGTGAGCTGACTCAGGAGAACACATGGAGTTTAAACGGCACCTCTCCTAAAGAGACTGCTCTGCTCCCCGCAGCCCCGATGAAAGCTCACCATGCCCAGGCACCCCACGTGTGTCTCTCACACACTACAGATGTGGTATCACCACGGTAACATGGTAACACTAGTAAGAGCTAACATTTAGTATTTCCCATGAGTAACAGGAGCTATGGGCCAGAAACCATTCTAATCACCTTACATGTATTATTTAGTTTCATCTCTATTGAAGTAGGTAGTTATACCCTCCTTATCCCTTATCTGCTGATCCCATTTTACAAATGGGAAAACTAAGGCTTAAAAACTGGCCTGTCACAACTGGCAGAGCCTTACTATGTGGTTGCAAAGCCTGTGCTAACAGCCACTTAAATACAGGTATGCATGTACAACTTCTGCCCCCTCTTTTGGAGACAAGGTTTTACTATATTGCCCAAACTGACTTCAAACTTGCAATCCTCCTGCCTCAGCCTCCCAAGTGACGGAGTTTCAAGTGTATGCTACAAGACCCAGTTAGTTACTGTCTGGTTTTTCTGATTGCTATTGGTTAGCTGAAAGCAAGGATGGTGTTTATTCGAGTCACCACTGCAGCCCCAGGGCCTGGCAAACAACAGGCACAAAGGAACGGGTGACACTAGCGAGAATGGACAGACCCTGGAACCTGGCCTGGCCAGGCCAAACCTTCCCGAGCCCAGGAAGGGCCTAGTGATACTCACACAGGGCTGGGCACAGAGCTCTCCAATTCATCCAAGAGGCTCTCCACACTGGGCCGCACATCCTCTAGGCCCCGTGCGCCATTGCGCTTGGGTTTCTCTTTCGGAGGCCCAGTTTTGCCTCCCACGGGGCTGTTATTCTCTGGAATGCCACTTGGAGGGGTCAGGGCCCCAAGCAGTGGGAGGCTTGAGTTGGCCTCATCTTAGAGAGAAGGAGAGAGACAGGCTGCTCAGCCCTTGAGCCCTCCAGGGCCCTAGAGGCCAGCATGTGGGCCTGGGGAGCCAATCGTACCTGCAGGGAAGCCTGGAGAATTGTGCTGCACGGCATTCAGTTCCAGCAGCAGACGATCAAGTTCAGAAAGGTTGCTGCCCAGGGAGGAGCTCATTATGGTAGGCGAAGGCTCAGCTGACTTCTGCTTGTTGGGGAAGCTTGGGGAAGCAACGGAAAGAGTTCAGTGAGAGATGCGCCTCAGCCTTCCACTGGTGTGGTGGCCCTCAAATTCGCAAGAAGTATCAGGTGGAGGGGTTACGATGTCTCCCTCAGCAAGAGGACAGAGAGCAGGAAAGGGATGTGGTAAGGAGGGAGGAAGGTAGTCTTGCTTCAGTTCCTCAATCACGCAAGAAGCCTTGACAGCCCAGGGTATCCATTACACAGAGATGGCAGATATAGCAGTTAATTGACCAGAGCCTCCAGGACTTCTATAGGTTAAACCAAAGACCCCGAAGGTAGCATCCCCCAAGGGCCCGTTACTATTCCCAGTCCCCAGCCTCAGCAGCCTCCTGCCCTGACCAGGTCCTTGGGGTTTCCAAGCATTAGGAGAGGCTGGGGCTGTACCTGTAGACGTGATCCTCCTCACCGACTCGGGAGCACGGAGGGCTGACGCCGTCCTGGGGATTGGAGGCACTGGAGGCTTTGGCCCTGGAGCTGTACACAGGTGACGGGGACGGAGGCTGCAGGAAGGAGAGTGCTCAGAGGACTGTCCCAAGGGGAGGGAAGAATGGGGAACAGGAGCAGCCCGAGTCACCCTCAGGTGGCTTCTGCTCATGGCCACCCGTCTCACCAGGGACTTTCCACAATCGGGCTAGGACACTGGTGATTAATTCTTGGTCACTGCCTCGCTCACACAGTGGGTAGGAGGAACAGCATCTGGTTGGGGACAGCCAAGTCCCCCAATCCATTCTGCCAATCTCATTCTTCCACTGGTTTCCACAACTCCCTGCTAGACAGGCTCCTTCTGCACCTTCCCCCCAAGCCTCCAGAGATTTCCTGACCCCTGTCCCCACCATACCCGCTGGTGAGTGAATCGGGAGGCGCTGGGCTGCCACTGGTCTAAGGGGTCAAGGGTGGTGCCATTGAGGGCCTCGCTAGACGGGGGTGGTGGGACCGGGGGTGGCACTGCGATCTCCTGGTAGGTGTGGTTTCCAGTTGGGTAGGAGTAGGGGGCCTCCTCAGACAGGAACACAGGCCGTTTGGAGATGTGGGAGGTAGTGGACTCCAAGTCTGCCAGCAAGGCGTCTGCAAAGAGAAGACGAAGGGAGCAAGTGAGAGCCAGGCACCTGGGAACTTTCCAGCAGTGCCCTGCCTGCCTACACCTCAACAGCAAATGAGTACCGGGCTCCTGCCCCACCCATGGGAGAAATGACCAGCCTCAGGACAGGAAGCCACCAGTCCAGACCGGCCTGACCGAGAACCAGCTCCCAAAGAGGCTCTCTTCTCCCCAAACCAAAGCTGCAGGTGCTCTGGAGGATTCCTCCAGGCTGCTCCTTGGGGCTCGCCTACCTCTGGAAGTCGGGCTCTTGACTCAGTGCTCCTACCGACAGGGCTGGGCCGCCGGCTAGTGCAACTGAGGAATGCCTGCCTGGAACTCCGACTCCATGGGGCACCTCCGAGAACGTGGGAGGGGCCCACGTCACGGGGAGGGGCCTGGGCAGCGCCAGGCTCTCACTGAACTTCCAAGAGCTAGGCTTTCTCAGCCTGCAGCTCAGAGGAGGCCTGTGGTTTGGATGGCACCTGTCCTTTTCACCAGGGAGAAGAAGCAGAACCCCAAGCTCTACGCTCCTCCTGAAGCTCCAGGCTATGAGGTAAGGTGTGTAGGGAGGTGGGGACTGGAAAGAAGCCGGTGCAGCGGTCCCCACCCCCTTGGCAAGCCAGGGGCAGGACTGCTCCGCTGGCTGTTTCTGCAGAAGCCTGGCAAGCAGCCCAGCCCCAGAGGCTCCAGGGCCCCACTACTCTGCTTTTAACAGCAGCAAGGGAGCTTAACTGGCCCTGGAGCATGAGATTCCATTAACCTGCGCCCCCTCTCCCCCCGCAGCCAAGAAGGGGGCCCTAGGTCCCTATGGTCTCCAGACAAGAGGGGCAGAACTGGAGGGTCAGAGTGGGAACTCTTCCCCTCCTGGGACCCTTGACAGCCCCACAACCCAGACAGCCCAGCCCCAGATGCAACCAACTCAGCCCGCCATGCTCCTAGACTTGCTCGCTCTCCTCTCCCTGGCAACCTGCTTGATCCTGACCTTCAGGACAGTAATTAAAAAAAAAATAGAAAAAAAAAAAAAAAAAAAAAAAAAAAAAAAAAAAGCAATGGTTGCTTTACCACCATTTACTAGTAACAGGCACAGTGTTAGGCACTTAACATATATAATCATAGCTAATCCTCCTAATAAGACGAAAGGTTGAAATCCTGATCCTCCCTTTTGAACTGAGGAAAGTGGGCTTGGAGAGAGACATTAGCCCCAGGCAACAAAGCTAATGACTTGCAGGACATGGACAACTCCTCAGAAGCCCCAAAGCCCAAATACCCGGCCTGTAAGAAGCTGCTGTGACTGCAAGAAGATGCCATATTTAAAGAATTCAATCTCCGGAACGTCTGTGACCCAAGCTCTGAAGGCTGCCAATATGATCCTTCCTTGTGGCCCTGCTCCCCCACCCCACTTGCACTCAGAGGAGAAAAGAAGGAAGCAAGGCCCTCACTCAGGCCTATGGGGCCACACCCTCTCCCAGAAGCTGGCCCCAGCCACACCTACGCAGGCTCCTGCCCAGATGGTCGGAGGGGTTACCTGTACCAAGGCCCAAGACCCCTGGTCCTAGTTTCCTACTTCTATGGGAGGTTTGTTCCTGTACCCTGCTTTGCCTCCAGTCCTTTAGAGGAGATCTGGCTTCCTGTCTCTAGCAAACCGGAACTAGAAAGAGTTGTTAGTGTGTGTCTAGGTAACAGCAGAAGAGGAACCAGTGTCCAGAGCCAATCCCAGTGGCCTCTTCAGGACTACACCTGCTGCCTTGGCTTCAGAGATGCTCCCATTTCCCCCTTGCCCAACCCAGCAGGGGCAGGGCTCCTCCTGCATGTCCAGCAGAGCTACCTGGGAAGCTCCAGAGGAGTCCCCAGAGCAGGCAACAAGTGACCTGAGCTCAAGCTCAACTTTGTTCAACATTCTGCAACAGGGAGTCCACTGCCCACTCACCAAATCCCCTGAGCCCCTCACCTGTGGTGTGAGTGAGTCTAAGTCTGGTGTTGATTCTGGTTCACGATTTCTATGGGCTGTTTTCAACCTGGATACCTTGGTTGGTTAGACTGTTGGTTGGAGGGTGCATTCTTCCTGTCTCTTGTCACAGAGACAAGAGACTGCTAGTCCTAGAGGTGATCTAGACCTGAGTTCAAGTCTCAGCTTCATTTGCTACATGCACCACGGCAAACTGTCCACCCTCTCTGTGCCTCAGTGTCTTCAATAAGCTGTGGTAAGTAACACCCCACAGAACCGGTATGAGGTTTATAGCAGACAGCTGCAAGCACTGGGGCTTATTTGCTTTTTAAGATCCAAAAAAAAACAAAAGATCCTCCTCGAAGGAGAAGGATAAGCTGCAACTTCTCCTCAGTCTTTTCTGGGTAGAATACGGGCAAGACGAACACGGCAATTCTGATGAGAAAGGTATAATAATAAAGTAAAATTCAAAGTATAGCATGTGTTGATGTCAGGGAGAAGACATATCATTTTCCATTTTCTCCAGTCATTGTCTACCTGAGAGGAATCCCAGCAACTACCTACAAAAGCCATAGGATCTCTCCCTCCTTGGTCTCGCCTGGTGATCTGGACAGGGGTTGGTGTCACAGTCCCCTAAACTCCCTATAAACTGCCCAAGGAAGAGTTGGGAATCTAGGAGGCAAGCCAGGCATAAACAATAAGTTATAGTTTGGATTCCTGTGGCTGCAGATGCCTGACATGGTTAAGGGCTGAAGTCTCCTTGCAAGCTCAGCAAACTCCTCCCCTGGCTTGAGTAAAAAGAGCCACAAAGGAGTCACAGGTACAGCCCCATCCCAGAGAACTCCTTGAAATTTCAGCTACAAGTACGGCCTTTTGCCCAGCTCTCACTGCCTGAGGGTAAGCTCAGAAATTCCTTATATTAGAGCCAGGCATGATGGTGCATGCCTGTAATTCAGGCACTCAGGAGACTGAAGCAGGAGGATCACTCTGAGATCAAGGCCAGCCTGGGCTACACAGTGAGTTCAAGGTCCGCCGGAACTACCTAGTGAGACCCTGTCTCAATACACAGCAAATAATAAAGGAAAAGAAACAGAGGAGAGAAGAGAAGAGAAGAGAAAAGAAGGGGAGGAAGAAATTTCTTCTATTCATAACCCAGGAAGGTTTTAGGTTGCTTTGGTCAGAGGCCACTAGAACCCTGTTAGAACAGAAACACACACTCCCTTCCTGTAGATAAGGAGGGCAGATTCCAGACGCTGCCTGGAAGTAGTCGGAGTCCTCGTCGAGGCCACAGGAGACCTCACAGTTCTTCATCATCACTTCACTTAGATCCAGGGTCCAGGCCTAAGACCATCACAACTCAAGTCACCCTGTGGAAAGTTCTCGTGGGCAATCTCATCTTCTATTTTGGCGGAAACCACTCTAGACTCTGCAGCTTTTTTGCCTCTCGGGGAAAATCAAGGTTACTGGATGAGAACAGAAAACCTGTGCATATGGGGGACAATCAGGCTGTCTCAAGGCTGGCAACAGGCTGGGTGCAAAGTCCCCAGCCACCCAGGGACAGAGGCCAGGAAGTTTGGCCTGGCAAGGAAGGCCTGCGGAACATGTACCACTGACCACCAGAGGGCACCATTGGCCCATCGGCTTCCTCCATGGGACGTAACCAAAGGGAGCCTGCCGTAGGAATTTTCAAGTAGATCTGGGAGAAGACCCGGGTGACCCCAGCCATAAGCACAATGAAGCTGCATGAAATTCTGAGGGGAGATGGTGGTGCAGGAGGGACAGAGCAAGCTACGAGGGGGAGCAAGAGGCAGACTGTATATGAAGACACCAAGCCCTGCCCAGAACACTCTCATTTGGAGGTGCAACCCCACGGTGACATGCAGTTCATGAGGCTCCACAGTCCTGGGGGGCCACACACCCTCACTTCTGGTGCTTTCTCCAAAAACTCAGTGCTTTGGGCATCCCTGTCTCTATCCTGAAGCCGGGCCTGGCCAGAACAAGAGCTCAAAGCAGCAGTGGCTTTGGGCTGGGAGGCTGCCCTAGGGCAGGGGCTGGGCAGCCCCAGGGTACTTTGGGCCAAGCTAAAAGGAAAAGTCCTTCCCTGAGCTCCAGAAACTGACTGTAATCCTTAGGGAGTACAGCTTTATAAATTTACAACCCCCAAGGATTAAGATGCGAGGCATGCTGGTGCATGCCTATAATCACAGCTGCTCCAGAAGCAGAAGGACAGCCAACTTTGAGGCCAGCCTGGGCAACCTGGTGAGCCCTGTCTCAAAAAATGCTGGGAACCAGGTGTCTGGATGCCTGTATGAGGCCATGGGTTCAACCTCTGTAGCAAAAAAAAAAAAAAAAAAAAAAAAA